TTCACCAGTTTCATTTGAGGTAGGAGATCAGAAGCCAGACTATCAAAGGTTTAGAAGTGAATGAAAAGAGAGGAAGTGGAGTCAATAGGTTTGTGAAAGGGAAGAGAGATATAGATTAGCTTGAGGTAAATGGTAGCATGTAGTAAGGGCAAAGAACACTGAATTCAAAGTCAGAGGACCCTCTTTAAATCATTTCTCTTGTACTTATTACCTGTTTTGACCTTTGGTCAAGGCTTTATTGGCCTTGGTTTCCTCATCTATAAAATCGGGATGGTTGAACTAGCTGAGATACCTGTGAAACCACTATGAAGGAGACATTAAAGTGGCATTTGTCATTCAGACAGATGGTAATGTGGGATTATACAAATCTGGTCATTTCTTTCCTTTATGCAAAAAACCCTTCCATGATAACCAAGTAAATGATTGTTTCTTAAGTAAAATTGAAATTCCTTAGCCTGCACTGATATTTCCTTTCCACAGTAACTTTTCCTTCCCTTGGACCTCACATAGTTGTTGACTTTTTATCTTCTTGTAGGTACCATGTCTAACTTGTATTAAAATAATTTTTTACCAGATTGTGCACTCTTTAGGGAACTACACTAAACTTTCTATTTTCCCCAGTACCTTCTTCACAATATCTAATACATATTAGTTAGCATTGGATTGAAGGAAAGGAAAAAAAATCAGCTGGTAGAGAATGGAGTCAAAAGTAATTATAAGTTTTCATGTCTGTAGGAGTTGAGAATAGCAGTGATCTTATGGTCTTAAGTGGAATTGTTGGCTAGGAGATAAAGTTATGAAAAAAAGAATTAGATATATTCAGTGTGTGAACTTTTAAAGCCCTACACAACCTAGCTCCAGTCTCTCTTTCCGTTGTCATTGGACATACTCCCTGTCCCAAACTCTGCATTCTAGCCAAACTGGTCTTCACACTGTTCCTCACAAAGAGTACTCCCATCTACTGTCTCCCTGCTCCCTGTCATCCCTGGAATGCACCTCCTCTTTCCTTCTTCCCTAAAAGTCCTTTTCCGTTAAGATAAAGCTCAGGCACCATCTTTTTGTAAGAAGCCTTTTCTGATCCCCCCCAACTATTAATGCCTTTATTTCCTCCCAAATTGCCTTGTATTTAACAATTTTGTATTTATTAACTTATGTAATAGGAACTACTTGATTGATATTTATACTGTATATGTTTCGTATGTACTTATTGTCTTACCTCATTAGAATGTAACCTTATTATGAGTAGGGATTGCTTCATTCTTGTACTTATATCCCTAGTAACTAGCATAGTGCCTGGCACCTACTAGGCACTTAATACATGTTTATTGACTGACAATCTCCATTTTACAGATGAGGAAACTGAGGCTGTGAGAAGTTAAGTGTTTTGCCCAGGGTCATACAGCTAGTTAATGTTTTGAGGTCAGATCAGAAATCAGGTCTTCCTGACTCCAGGTCCAGCAGCAGTCTATCCAGTCTGCCACCCAGCTGCTTTTGTATATGATATTGCCAGAAGTATTCTGAAAGGCACTACTAAAAGTTACAAAGCCCTGAGTGAGAAATGGAAGGCCCTTTTTTCAGTGGAAGTCAAATGTTATTTGGAATTAAAAGGAAGAATTGGGATATAAGGAGTTGATTTAGAAAATGGCATTTGAGAATGGATTTATATTTCTGAACAGAAGATTAAAATATGAAAATGATAGACTCTCGGCTAGGGATAGAGTTCACCTAGTGATGAGTCAGCAATAATGGCTGAAGTCTTACAAATTTAGTCAAAAAGACTGAAAAGGGAGGTGAAAGGAAGAAACTGTTAAGCTTATGTAATATAGAGCCAGGGGTTCTTAACCTGGAGTCCATGAATTTGGACATCTTTATTTTAATATAATTGGTTTTCTTTGTAATCTCATATATTATATTTCATGCATTTAAAACACTGTGAGAACGGGTCCTAAGACGTCACTAGATTGACAAAGGGATCCATGGCAAAAAAAAAAAAAAAGGTTAAGAAATTCTGCTGTAAAGAATAGTTACAACATAGAAAGACTAACAGTGGAGATGCCAATAATTAATAGGAGATAAAGTCACAGAAGAGAGGCCAGTAATGTCCATGACTTCATATGTCTATACACAGAGTGTGGGTTACTAATGAGGAGAACTAGAGATCCTGAAGTAGGGAACCAAGTTTAAAGAAGATTTTTTTGTTTAATAGGGCAAGCTGGATAGACAAGGAAACTTGGATTTTTAAAAAATATATACAGAAGTTAGGTATAAGTTATGACATTTAAAGTCATTTGACAGGATGAATGTTAATTGTAAAAGAAGAGTGGTTCTGTAAAATTATTGTCAGTACCCATAAAGTTCAGAATGGGGTGAGGCTTGTCGAGAAATACTAGGCACGGATGATGGGTTTTTAAAAGGTAGGTCAGGGATGGGAGAGGCAGAGAAGAAATAGGAACCTTGCTTCAGCATAGAGGAGAAGAACTACTGAGTCCTTGTTTTGCTGTTTTATCTGCTAGGGAGAAAGATCTTTGAACTGGAGACAAAAGAACAACATGACTAGTAGGGAACTGAAACTCAAGGTTTCATAAAAATAATAGCAAAAATGAGAGTACCTATTTGCCTTGATGAACTCATATCATCAGGCCGAGATGAGTAAAACTCTGTGGTGCTAAAAGAGTAGGTGAATGTGATTTCTGAAAGATCATAGAGATTGGGAGAAGTTCCAGTAGATCAAATTGGGGCAAATGTCTCAAATTTTTAAAAATGGGTACAGTGGAGTCTGTAAAATATAGACCAGTGACCTTGATTTTAATACATTTTAAATATCCACTAGGAATCAAAAAGGGTGATTATAGAACATCTAGAAGAAAAATCAGTGATCACAAAGGGCCAGCATGGCTTCACCAAAATAGGTTATATCAGATTTACCTCATTAGCAGACAGGAGAATTTTATAGATAAGTTTACATTGATTTCAGTAAAGCATTTTATGAAGTTTTTCCTACTTTTCTTGTAGTGGAGGTGGAGAGATGTGTTGAGGGTAGCTTAGTGGCACAGTGGTGAAAATACTGGACTAGAAGACAGCTTCTCTATGTCACTTCATAGCTGTATGACCCCGTGCCTCAGCTTCCTCAACTGTAAAATGGAGGTAATAATAATAGCACCTACCTCACAGGGTTGTTGTGAGGATCAAATGGGATAATATATGTAAAATGCTTTGCAAACCTGAAAGTACTATATAAATGCTAGTTATTAGCCTGTTGTGCAGTTGTTGGATTTGGTAACAGGTTAAGTGGCCAAACCCAAAAGTGCAGTCATTAATGAGCAGATTTCGGCCTGAAGTAATATCTGTAGCAAGGAGGAGTATGAATTTAATTTCTCTGGACCTTAATTACCTCTTCTGTAAAATAATTTGAGCAGACGAGGTGACCTGTATAGTTCTTTTTAATTCTTTCTAAATCTTCGACTTTAATGGTGACTTGGATAAAGATGTAGGTGGCATATTGATCAGTTTTTTGGATGACACAAAGCTGGGGGGATGTCGTAGCTAGCAAGTTTAATTGATAGAATCCAAAAAGTCCAGAAAGGCTAGAAAATTGGATTAAATCTTATAAGATGAAAATTAATAAGGATAAATGTAGAGTTTTACACTGAAGTTCAAAATATCAACTTCATCAGTACAAGTTGGGAAGCATGGCTAGAGAGTTCATCTGCAGAAGATGGAGGTTTTAGTGTACTACAAGTACAGTGTGAAGCAACAATGAAAATAACTGCTCCAAAGAGGTAATGTGATCTTAAGTTGCATTGAGAGCCACAGTATCTGGAATAAAGGAGGTGATAATCCAGCTGCATTCTATCCAGGTCAAACCACATCTAATGTGTTGTTCATATTTAATAATGTTTGAAATTTCAGAAGAATGTACATTAAAAATTAAAATATATGTTAAAGATCTTGCCTATCATACTGTGCAATTAAAAAGCAAATATGTTGTAATGATCTAAAATGTCACTGAATGATAGCAAAATCTCTTTGCTTTTCAGTAGAATGTAAGCTTGAGGGCAGGAGCTCGTTTCTGTTTTTTTTCTTTGTGCACATAGGAGGTAATAATAATGGTTTTGTATCAGAACCAACTGCTATAACCACAGCTGACCATTGAGGCTTGGTTTCTGTTGTAATCTAGTTGTTGTGCATGTGTCATCTACTGAAACTTTAGAGAGGAAGAGGTGAGCTGGAGGTACAATCCATGAAAAAAATGAGAAGTGACTCTTTCTTTCTAGAGTTTCAGTAGCTGGCTGCATTGTTGTCCCTCTCTGAGTGGTATGCTCTGTCCTCTCTCCAGTCATCTTTATTTTATTGGACCTTTCTGTGCTAGATTGGTCCAGATTCAACGTAGGAATACAGTAAGTTTCAAGGATGGCTTCTCTGTGGTGTTGGCATTAAAATATTGGACTAGTGCTTACTACTTCTTAAGACTCTTTACTCCCTGGGACTTAATTCAGAATTTTGTTGGGGAGGAGCACCCATCAAAATAACTAGACGGGAGACATTTCATGGAGAGATGACCTATAGTGGGCCTCAGGGTAGCATTCATACCACCTACTTCTCCCAGTCCTCTGGGAAAGGTCTTAGAGTGATCATGTTCTCCTATATTCAAAATCTTTTCTGTTGTTCAAGACACACCAATCATGAACTCATTTTCATTAACATTCATTTTCATTTCCTTTTTATGATCCATTATCTTTAAGTTGTTTAATCATATAGTTTCAAACATTGATGATCCTCGAGTGTCAGTGTCTATTTACTAAATCAGTTACTTAACAATACAAATTACAGTTTAGGGGTAATGTGTTTTGAAGTTTTTTAGAATTGTTCGTGTTTCCCGTATTGTTGATATCTGAAAGTCTTGTAAAATTATTCTGTTTTCTTTCAAGTAACTTATTAGCTAAGTGTGGAAATATCTTGTATATTGGATAATGACATTTCATTAAATCTTTGTTTTCTAGATCTTACAGTCTCTTTCAGCACCTACAAAAAATTTAGAACAGCAGGTAAATCATAGCCAACAGGGACATGCAAATGCCGTGTTCTTTAGTCAAGTGAAACTAACTCCAGAGGCACATTTGTTACAACAGCAGCATCAGACGCAGCAGCAGCAGCAGCAGCAGCAGCAGCAGCACCATCCGATTTTACATCTTCAACCTCAGCAGCTGATGCAACTTCAGCAGCAGCAACAACCACCGCAGATTTCCCAACAGCCTTACCCTCAGCAACAGCCTCATCAGTTTTCACAGCCACAGCAACAAGTCCATCAGCAGCATCAGTTTCCGCAGCAACAGCTGCCGTTTCCACAGCAGCAGTTACATCCTCAACAGCAGCTTCATCGCCCTCAGCAACAGCTACAGCAGTTCCAGCAACAGCATGCTCTTCAGCAACAGCTCCATCAGCTGCAACAGCAGCAGCTGCAACAGCAACAGTTAGCACAGCTCCAACAGCAGAACCTGCAACAGCAGCAGCAGCAGCAGCAGCAGCAGTTACAGCAGCAGCAGTTACAACGTCTGCACCAACATCAGCAGCAACAGCAAATGCAAAATCAAACAGCACAACATTTGAGTCAAACATCACAGGCCCTTCCATCTCAGCAAACACAGCAGCAGCAGCAGCAGCAGCAGCAGCAGCAGCAGCAGCAGCAGCAGCAGCAGCAGCAGCTGTCACAGCATCATCCGCTCTTTGGACATGATCCAGCAGTGGAAAGTTAGCAATCTTTTTTTTCCTCCTAAAAGTATTGCTTTTTTAAAAGTGTGAAATGCTTGATTATTTGAGGGTGGGGATTATATCATCATTATCATTCAAAATGGAAAATGTGAATCTCTTAATATAAAGAATCTGCCATCTCTGGAGGAATTGTCTACTGCTTTAGGGTTTAAGACCTTTACTTCAGTATTTAAATTATTAAAGCTCATAAAACTATACACATACATATATGTTACCATTTTTTATAATCCATCCTATAATATGACCACTAGCTTTAATTTACAGTGGGTAGTAATAAATAATGTTGATTTAGCTATCTTTAATTCAGATTGCTGTCTCAGTAAATTGAGCTGGAAATTTTCTTGCAAAAGTTTTCAAATCTTTTACAAAAATTTCTCTGGCCCCAAAGATAACCTCCAAACTTTCAGATTTTACTTGGTAAGATATATTTCCCATATCTCTTTATTAAAAGTTAGTGGATTGTATTATATTTTGTTTTTCTGTGCAATTCTTTTTCAGTTCCAGAAGAATGTTTCTTATTGGGATGTGTATTTGCAATTGCTGATTATCCAGAACAGATGTCTGATAAACAACTGTTGGCAACCTGGAAAAGGGTAAGACTTGTCCCAAAGAAATAATTCTTATTAAATATTTATTTATTAGATATTTCTTATTAAAGTTTTTTTCTGGTGGATCTGTATTTAATAACTAATAAGTAGTTTTTAGCTAGCACTTTAAGATTTACAAATCACTTAACATAAATTATTTCATTTGATCTGCGTGGAAAGTAGGTATTAAGTTTATCTCCATTTTACAGATAAGGGAACTGAGGCTGAGAAAGGATTCGTGTCTGAGGCTCTTGAGCTGAAACCTTCTTGACTTAGTCCAGTGCTTTATCCACTATGCCATCTAGACTAACTTGTGTGTGTATGTTGTAATTTACATAAATAACTTGTAAATTAAACAATGTGACTTAGTGGTTAGAGGGCTAACTACGGAAGCAAGAAGGATCTGGTTTGGAATCCTGATACCAGCATTAGCTCTCTGGCTATAGGTAGGTCACTTCTCCTCTCTGAACCTGAGTTTCCTCATTTGTAAAATGGAGGTAATAATAAAAATCTTAATAACAAGGCTCAAATCAGATTATTATTTGTAAAGCACTTTGTACACCTTCAAGAGCAATATAAGATTATAATTTTTTTATTATAAATGTTTATTTTAAAAGGAGAAAGATATAGGGGTTATATAAATGAATAAAGATGGGAAGTAAACTAAAATGAAGTATAGAGTTTTCTTAAATTATTAGAATAAAAATTTAAATGTCATAGAACAGTAGTTTGCAAAGTATTATTAATTAAGATTGGCCTTAATTTCTTTTTGCTGTTATTGTAGTTAATGGAAAAATCTCATAATAGTAGACTGTTCACTCATAAAACATGGTTATTTTTATGTGACTTTTTGTAGCTATGATGAGAAACCAAGCAGTGATTATCACTTTGACAATACACTATTTTCTTTTTTTTTTTTCATTTTTTTTTTCTTTTGCTTTTTGGTGAGGCAGTCAGGGTTAAGTGACTTGTCCAGCGTCTCAAAGCTAGTGTCAAGTGTCTGGGCTCTGATTTGAACTCAGGTCCTCTTGACTCCAAGGCCAGAGCTCTATCCACTGCGCCACCTCGTTGCCCCTAAATTATTTTTTTGAGGCAGTAGGAGTTAAGTGACTTGCTTTGGGTTACACAACTAATAAGTGTCCAAGGCTGGATTTGAACTCATGTCCATCGGACTCTGGTGCAGTGCTCTATTTTTTATTTAGCTATGAGCGTTAAAAATTATACTTATTCATTTTACTTTAGTAGAAGTAAAAAAAAAAATAGGGGGCAGCGAGGTGGCACAGTAGATAGAGCACTGGCCATGTAGTCAGGAAGACCTGAGTTCAAATCCAGCCTCGGACACTCAACACTTACTAGCTGTGTGACCTTGGGCAAGTCACTTAACCCTATTGCCTAGCCAAAAAAACAAAACAACAACAACAACAAAAACAAAAACAAAAAGTAAAAAAATCTGATTTGGAATATGACTTTTGCATTATATCCATTTCTAAGCATAATACTTCGAGTATTCCAGTTGGGTAATTGAATTCTGATTGTTTAAGGCTTAATTGGAAAGCTTTTTGTTTGAAACTTTGGAAATCCAAAATCTATTCACTTTACTACTTTAGCAAATAAGAGTATCCTGAACCTGATTGGATTTTTCTGTGGTGATTGTAGATCAAGTAGTGGATGCCTCAGAGCTCTCTCATTGTTGAAAATCAGTTCCCGCTGTGCAGTATTGTAGATAGATAGAAGATGTAAGAAATAGGGCTGAATTTGTATTGAACTCAGGATCTCCTCTGTAAGATAATTTGTTTGTCTAATGAAATAAATGTTTTGTTTTTGTATATTTTCTTGTTTTGCTTTTTTCCCTTGAAGTATTGATGTCCCTATCATTCCCCTCCTCACAATCTAAGTCAAATTTATAATTAATTTAGTTTTTGTTTTATTGTAGTTTAGAACCATCCTGTAACTTTTCATGTTTTGCAGAAATTTGTCATGTAACTACGAAGTGATATTCTTACACTAAATTAATTGACTGATATTTATAATTGGTTAGACTAATAAAAGATGTAAATTGGGGTTTTCTTGGGTGACCAGATAATACAAGCACATGGTGGCTCTGTGGATCCCACATTTACAAGCAGATGTACACATCTTCTTTGTGAAAGTCAAGTCAGTAGTATGTATGCACAGGTAAGTAAATAAAATAAAAGCTGATAATGAAAAATGTCTGATGCCATAGTTTTATTGGCATGATATCTGGTTTTGGTAAATTTTCATCATTTTTGGGAAAGGATCTTAATTACATTCAGAAGAAAAAAACTTCTGTTTAATAATGAATTTCTGTAGGTACCTAAAGTTGCTCCTGTGGTATACTGTTGGTGAGGGAGAAAGGAAGGAGAAATTCCAGGTAATCTTTTAGCTATGATGGGAATGAATCCCTATTACTTGCTGAAGCATCACAGAATTCCGGCTGATTGACTAAATGGTGGGTGGGAATAGGCACTTTTTATTGCTTGAAAGAATGTGTGTGGAGAGGTAAGTGTGGATCCTTGCTCTTTCAGGGACTTTAGAGTTCCATAGGGACCTAAGTTTTGGTTCAGAATATGTACCATTCATACTAGTTATTGTTTCTTCTTAGTTTTATTTGCCTACCTAATGAGCCTTCAGCTATGTAATTTCATTGTCTTAAAGGAAGCATGCCCAATGTATATCTATTTAACAAAAGTCCTTGCAAATTCTGCGTCTTCCCATGTAACAGCCAAGAAAGTCTGAATTTGTAGAAATATTCGAGGTTTTTTTCTTGATAATTTTTTGAAGATTGTTGAGCAGATTTTTTGTGAGGGAGGGGTTAAACTCAGGTGTGGCAGTATGTTTATCTTACTAGAGAATAGTGAAATATTGTAGTGTTAATTTAGTTGAAATAGTCACAGTCATTGTCTTACTAAATGAATGAAAAAAATCTCTTGACCTTTTCTTAGTTTAATTGTAGCTTCTTATAAGTTTTGAAAAGTAAAATCTTGTCAAATGCACCTAAATTATCCAACTACATTGTTGAACCAGATACATTTAAAAACTAGTGTTTTAGTCCTTTAGGTCCTTAGCAAGTCCCATTGCATTTCTTTGGTTATGGCCTTCCAAATAAAGGTGATAGTTATACAGCATATAAAATAATGTAGATAGTGGTTAGTCCTTCAGTAAAAATCTAAAATTTTATATTTGACAGGCGGTGAGAGAAAGAAAAAGATGTGTCACTGCACATTGGTTAAATACAGTCTTAAAAAAGAAGAAAATGATACCACCTCATCGAGCCCTTCATTTTCCAGTGGCATTCCCACCAGGAGGAAAGCCATGTTCTCAACATGTAAGAGAAAATTTCACGTTACATGTATATAGGTCTTTTTAAATAATCTACTATACCTCTACAAAAATTCTGTTCCAGTTTACTATTCCTATTCTGCACTCTCTTGGGCCATGGTAACGTATGAAACCATTGATTACATTTTGGAGGGAGTACTTACATAGATAAATTGATTGATTTTTTTTTTTAATTATTGAGTTAAGTGCAGCAAAGTTGGCTATATCTCCTATTTACTTTTGGTATCTCTTGTATTATTACTGACATACATAGTTTTCTTTTTAATAGTAACAGTAGCTGGCGTTTATGTAGTACGTAAAGGTTTGCAAAGCACTTTATATATATTATCTCATTATACTATTATGACTATATCTATTTTAGGTGAGGCTGTTTATTAGACGGAGGTTAAATGATTTGCTTAGCGTTACACAGCAGGATTTGAAATCAGGCCTTCCTGATTCCCAAGTTTAGTATTCTATCCACTGTGCCACCTTCTTTTAGATTTCTTTGTGTCATCTTTAGAACATGGATTCCATCTACTCTTGTCCATACTTAGTAAAGACTTTTTGATTGATTCTCTGAAAGCTTTCACTTCAGGTTTTTAGATTGTTGATGTCCAAATACACCAGTTGATTGCTCCAAAGAAGGCATCGTTTTTAGGGATACTTGCTATCTCATGATTAAATAGCCATTTCCTCATTCTCTTTAAAAATTCAACTTCTAATATGTAGGGTTAGAAAAATATTTTCATTATACTCATTGATTTCTCTTTTTATACTGTATACATTACTTTGACCATTACTGCAAATCAGAATTCTTAAACATAATATTTACTTGTACTGATTAGCATATATGTTGTTAGTCCAGTTAGAATGGGGAAGCTTCTTGAAGGCAGGTAATATAATTCCTTTTTCTTTGTATCCCAAGCACCCGGTATAGTGCCTGGTACACAGTAAGCATTTAACAAATGTTTGCTGATTTATTGGTTGATTGATAATACTGAAATGTTTTTATAATATGTCCCCACATTCTGTGTGTCCCTGGAACTTAAAAGATATAGTAGTACTTTGGGGTTTTGTTGTAATGCTTTTTACTTTTTTCAACAGATTATTTCAGTGACTGGATTTGTTGATGGTGACAGAGATGACCTAAAATTAATGGCTTACTTGGCAGGTGCCAAATATACAGGTTATTTGTGCCGTAGCAATACAGTACTCATATGTAAAGAGTAAGTGACTTCATGGAATTATTTTCAGTCTGAGTCTTACCAGAAAACTATGTACATTCTTTATACAGTATATATTTCACAATTCTGTTTTTCCTGCTATAATGAAGTTCTTTCTGTTAAGGATACCATTATGCTTCTAGTTAGCCAGGTTCACAAACTCAGTCTTTCTGGATTCTTGTTCACTCTGAGCCCACATGTCCAGTCAGCTGACGTCTTGGCAGTTGTACATCCACATCTCCTCACATCAGTTTCTTTCTCTCTATCATCAGGTCCTCATCATTATTGTAGTAGCTTCCTAATTGGTCTCATTCCAGTCCATTATCCATACAACTGCTGAAATGATTTTCCTTAATTACAGGTCCAGACATTTCACTCTCCTCCTTAGAAAACTCCAGTGGCTTTCTCTTGCCCCTAGGATCACATATAAACACCTCTGTTTACCTTTTAAAGCCCATCACAGCCTGGCTCCAACCTATATTTTCTGCCCCATCATACATCACTTTACTTTGTGCCCTTGACATTCTAGCCATTCTGTCTTGATTGAGGCTCACAGGTATTCCGTTTCTCATCTCACACTTTTATACAGGATGTTCCCTGGGTTTGGAATCTACTACTTCCACATCTCCACCTCTTAGATTTCTTAGACAGTCAGCTCATAGCTACATTAAGCCTTTTGTTGATCATCCCAGTAGTTAGCACCTTCCCCCTAAAAAGTTGCCTTTCATATCTGTTTTGTAAGCTTAGTCACACACATACACACACACTCACAAAGTCTTCCTGATGGAATTTGAAAGCAGTGAAATTTCATTTTTATCTTTGCAACCCCAGTTTCTAGCTGTAATGCCTGACACATAGAAGTTGCTTAACAAATGCTTGTTTATTGATTGATTTGAACAGAAATCCAAGTGCAAAAATAATTCTTTTAAAAAATAAATAAATAGTAAAAATGCTCACGGTAATGGTTGTAGACATAGCTATTAAAGGTGGATTGCAGTTAAATACATAATAGAAAATGAAGTAAAAGTAGGACTGCAGGAAATTAAATTGGTGTTCTATTTCAGTATGAATTTTATAATGTGGATTGACTATTCTGTTACTAAATTACTGTTTTAATTTTAACATGATTTGTTTAATATTTTCATCAATGTTAAAAAGGAAAAGAATTCTCTTGTAACAGATATGAGACCTATGAATTGTTTTGATAAAAACTTAAAGTATTTGATAAGTTAATTTTCTCCCCATATATGAAGGCCAAGTGGTTTAAAATATGAAAAGGCCAAAGAGTGGAGGATACCATGCGTGAATGCCCAGTGGCTTTGCGACATATTGCTTGGGAACTTTGAGGCCTTGCGACAGGTGCAGTGCAGCCGCTACACAGTGTTCAACCTGCAGGATCCATTTGCTCCTACTCAGCATTTAGTTTTAAATCTTTTGGGTAAGTAAAATTTCAAATACTTCAAATTATAATTCAAAGAATTAAAACTAGAATTATTGAGAACAAATACTTGGATAACAGCCCAGCAGTGAAAACTGATTATACTTCTCTTCATCTTCACATCGCTAAGGCTTTTTCTAATTTTCATCCCATAATTAGCTGAAAGCTCCTTAACTTTGAAATCTTATTCATATTAACCAGTAAACTTGGCTTTTTGAGCTTTTTGTTTCTCCTTACAGAGTTCCTGTGCTTCATTATTTTTTCTCTTTGAGTTTGAAAGACTCATAGAAGTTATCTTGTCCAGCTTTCCGCTTAGTGCAATAATTTTTTCTCCAACCTCCATGAAAAATTGCTTTCTAACCTCTGCCTAAATACTTTCAGCAGTGATGAGTTAGCTATTTGAGAGGGCTCTCCATTTTTAGATAGCTCAATAGGTAGATTCTTTATGTTGATCCAACATCTGTCTCCCTGTAATTTCTACTATTTGTCCTAATTATGCCCTTTGAAACTACACAGAATAAACCTATTCCTATTTTTACTTAGTTTTTAACTCACATTTTCAGTGTTACTTATTACAGCTCTGTGAGGTAGATAGTGTAAGTATTATCGTCATTATTTTACAAATGAGGAACTAAGGCCCGTAGGTTAAGTGACTTGCTCAGGATCACATAGCTATTAAGTGTTAGCCCTATGGACTCAGATTATTTGACTCCTTTTGAAATCATTCCCATTCCCACCACACCAACTAAGGTGACACTTGTTTCATGAAACTGCCTGCCTAAATGAAATAATGTCTACTTTTGTTATAACTCCCATAGTACTTAGTACATATTATATTATAATTTGTATACTGATTTTTTGTTTGCATACTTTATCTTCCCTATTTATAAGTTTCTTTAGGACACAGACTATCTCATCTGTGCTGATTCACCTTTATAACTTCCCTTAGTGCTTAGCACAATGTCTTACATAGAGTATACACTTAAATGTTGAATGAATAAGTGGATCCTTGTTATCTGTCCCACACTATTCACTCATATTGGATTTAGAATCCTTAGGTCTTTTGTGTTGATTACTTTTGTTAGGTCAGGTCTGTGATCGACATAAGCAGTTGACCTTTGAATCTAGTAATAGCACCTTTTTTAATATAATGGTTTATAGTTTACAAAAGCACTTTCCCATATATTATCTCTTTGTTGTAAATATTGCACTTGATATTTTATAGGAGTGCATGTAATCTTGCTAGTGCCAACTCATTTATAGCCTTTTAATCTTTTTTTTAACTCTTGATGGTCATCCAACCTGTTAGTTGTGCAGTGTTATCTAATCTGTAAATTTAATGTGATGGTAATAGCCTACTTTTATATAGGACCTTTTAGTTGCAAATTACTTTTTATGTCTTCTTCCAAGCTGTTAAAATGTATTGAATAAGACAAGATTAAGTACAGAGGCCAGCAGCATTCTACTAGGATTTTAGAGGAAGTAAATCAGTATAAGAAAACAGTCCACTGCCAAGTTGTACTATCTTCTCCTCCAAGATAGTATAGAGGTTCACTTTTAAAGTTCTTCCTTCTCTGTTAGTACAGTCATATTACCCCTAATGTAGATAGTGACAAAAAATGGTTTTCAGATTGGAAAATTCTGTATGCTGAGATCATTGGTTTAGCTGTTGGTTCAGATCTGACCCACATAGGTTGCCTGATATGACAAAGGGCTTTCAGGCTTCTTTCTATAAATGATTAGAATACCTTCACGTTTTCCAGAAGGACAGGGATGGATTAACAGTAGAAACTATTCTTTTGCTGTATCCCTTAATGAGTACTGTTTCTGGAAGCCTCAGAACAATAATTTTTTAGCCCCTTGAAGACCTTCCCAGTAGGGAAACTTGCCTAGGCTTTCTGTTTAGAAATAGTCTGACCCTGTACTTAAATGGTGTTTTGCCTACTTCTGGTAAATGGTGAAAATACATTCCCTGGATGTGTTTATACTGAGCTTATTTCCAGTTGTTGCTAAAATTCAGCATGAGTGGGTTTCGTAAAAAATAAATGCAGTATAATGTGTTTTTCTTTATGTACAAAAAGACTTGCCCCCAAATTATGTTTTGAGTAGTGGTAATTTGGAAAAACATCCTGCTCATTTTTAGTGGCATACATTTAGAAATAGCTGACCCAGGGGTTAAGATGTAGGTAGTAGCTTTAAAAATAAAGTTTACTGACTAGCATGGAGGCCATCACAGACTCATTCGCGTTAGATTGTAACTAAGTGACCTGACCATAGAGAGAACATGAATGTACTACATGTTTATATGAAGGCTTTTTAAAAATAATGATCTAATTGTAAAATCTTGTATTTCTCTCTTAGATGCATGGAGGGTTCCATTAAAGGTATCAGCAGAGCTGCTAATGGTATGTTGTTAATAACCTCACTTTGTTTTCCATCATTTTAATAATTTATTGAATATTCTAAGTTGTAGATTCATGGAATAAATTAAAATAGATTAAATGATAGCAAATATATTATACATAATATGGTAGCTTAGGTAGAACAAAAGTTATTTCTAGCAGCTGTTTCTGTGCGTCAGTATATACTATGTTTTAATCATTGCTAATTAAATATTGGGTTTAAAAATAACTTTTGCATTTCTCTATCATAATTATTTAACTTTAGGATTAGCACTATGGATTTTTTTTTTTTGCATGTTTTCCTGTAGGATCTTGGATTAGACAGCTCAAGCCTGTACTATGGGATGGTGTATAAATCTTTCTTATCTCATATATCTATCTATCTATCTATCTATATATACATACACACACACACATATATACACACACATATATAGCTTTCATTTTCCTTTTATTTACTGTTTTATTTTTCATCAGTTACGTGTAAAAACAATTTTTAACATTTGTTTTTAAAACTTTTGAGTTCCAGATTCTCTTCCTTCTCCCCTCTTCCAGCTTATATTTTCATTGCCGAATTCAGAGTTTACATTCGTTGACTCTTTTTCACATTTTCCCTGTCGTATATATAGGGGACTTGGATTATTCTCATTTTTTACAATTACATAAAATGACTTTGTCATTATGATCAGATAACAAATTGGCCTAGAACCTGATCTTTCTAACCTATATTATTTTTAAGTGTGATCTTGGGGCCACTGTTGATCTTTGAGCATCTTCTGAGTAATCTCTGTGAGTGTCCTATTTTATTAATATTTATAACAACATGACAGTGTTTATCTCTTTTTGTTTTGGGCATGAGTGACTATTACATTTGATTTGTCATCAGAAGTAGTATAATTTTTCTGACAAATAACGCTTTATAATTGCAGAACACTTTACAACAACCTTGTGAAGTGTAGGTAGTGCAAGTATCATTCCCATTTTATAGTTGAAGAAACTGACATAGAAAAATGAAATGACTTACCCACATTCATATAACTAATAAATATCAGAACCAAAATTCTAACTCAGATCTCCTGAGAGTTAGGTTGATTGCTCTTTTCACTCCCAACCTGAAAATCAGATAGATGAGGTGAATTATGGTCATCAGAGTCTTTATCCTAACAAGCACAGATTTTATCTTATATGTACTTATCAGCTTTTGGAAGCTCTCTGGCATTTTTTTCATTTTTAAAATTATAACAGTTATTATGGTGTATGTAATAAAGTGCTTTTCCAATTTTAAAATGCTATATAATTTTTCTTTATTGGTCTGGAACTTTTTTACAGATACTTGCACTGTGTCCCAGCCATTAGAACAAGACGAATTGGGTAATGTTTAATTAGTATTACCTTTAAATTTAATTTCCTTTTGCTTTGTAGTCAATTTGGAGACCTGATAGATCTTGAAAATTAAAAATATATATACATGAAACATACTTTATTTAGGGATATAAATGTATTTGACCAGAATACTATAGGTCTAATAAGAATATGGGGGGAAAAGTCCTTTCAGAATCACCACTGGAGAATGTACTACTTGAAATTTTGATGTTAAATAATAAAACTTTTTTTCCTTTGTCTTTTCTTCAGCAAAAAATTCCCCAAATTAGAGTAGGCTTCTATCATGAAAATATCAAATATCAAAATGTAAATGGCATTGTTTCTGAATGGATTGTGTAGTAAAATGTAAGCTCCTCCCTAGTACCTAGCACAACCTGTGAATGTGGTAAGCACTTAATAAATGCTTATGAATTGAACTGAATTATCTTCTCAACTCCAGTTCCTAGCATGCAGTAGGTACTTTATTTAAGAGGGAAAAGGAGGGAATAAATGTCATTATATGATTTGTGGTTAGCATAAGGAGAAGGGCATTGTATCAGCTGTTCGTTTTCAGTGTAGTAAGTATTCATTGAGTGTCTATTATGAGCAAGTTACTGAAGCAGTCTGTGCCCTCCAGGAGTTTATACTGTGGCAGGAAATAACATAGACAGAGTAAAGCAAATATAATATATGTATATGCAAAGTCATTTTGGAGTAAGAGAAGCACTAACAGCTGGGAAGATCAGGAAAGACCTTGTAAGAGATGGCATTTTAACATCATGATCCTTGAAGAGAGCCTTCTTGACCCTGGGGATAGCCTCTGTAGAGGCAGGAGATGGAATGTTTTATTTGGGGAATAGAAGATAAGGGCAGTTTAACAGCAGTCTAGTCAGTGTGAAGGAAGGTTTTGTGAAATTAATCAAGAAAGCTAGGTTGCAGCTAGGTTGTGAGCAGATTTAAATGTCAAATAGAAGAATTTGTATTTTAACTTACAGAATAGGGAGCTTCTTTTTTTTTTTTTTTAACTTTTTTTGATTAACAGGCATTTATTTACTCTCCCTTCCAACTCACCTCCAAGACTCAGTTCATACCCCACCTGCTCCAAAAGTCCTTTCCCAGCATACCTTGTACTTCCCCTTCTCCCACTGCTAGTGCTTTCCCTCTGCTATTAACTCTCATTTACAATGTATACATACCTTTTTTTTTTAAACACTGTCTATCTTGTTCATACTTTGTTGCATGCTGCCTTCCCCATTAGATTGTGAGCTGGCCGGGGAACATGTTTTTTACTTTCTTTATAGCACCACCATTTTTTTAATAAAGCCACTGCCTTGGCACTTAAAGCCCTTCTTGACTGGACTAAAGCTTGTCATTATACTATTTGTGTAGTTGTGTGTATGTGTAATACACATATACAGGTATATTCATAGATATTTCACATTTTCAGGTGATGCCACCATCATTTAAACTGGTTTGCAAGTTTTTGTTAATCATTGTATATAAATTAATACAATATAAGAAGTCTGAATAGTTGTTTCTTGGCCTTTGTTATGCAGATATGCACCTTAAAATTAGGATCTACTGTAACCTCCAGTAGATAGATTTATACAATGAGTATGTCAGATTAGCTAATTGTAACCTTTTAGGCCAGGAGGGCCTAGATATGAAGGGATGAAATGTGGGAACAGGATTAAGCTGAGGTAGAAGGAAGAAGAAAGCATGGTTTAGATCTCTGCTTGAATCCATATCCAACAGTTGATTGTTGACAGAACATAACACATTTGTAAGTTAATGAAATGTCAGTTCACAGGTTCATAGACTCATATAGTGCTAGAACTGGGAGAAAGGGAGGAAGAAAATAAAGCCACAAGAACATTATGTATCATGACTACAACAGCATAAAAAAAGTCAGTGTGGAGAGGCAACAAAACTTGGGTCAAATACAGTGATTAGTGGTAGTGTACTATATAGTTATCCCTTCCATATTGTAATTTTCTCCATCGTCCAGGTTGGCACAAGAAATTACGTGGATATTTTTTGGGTGTTTTGCAAAAGCTGTACATGACCCTCCAAGGTCAGTAGGCCTTAGAGTTTAGAAATTCAGAAATGCATAAAATGTATATGTAGTATTGTATAATATAGTTTATGACCAAATACTTAACACAAATTTTACAATAAGGTACTGTAAACACCCCATAAAAGAAAAAGAAAATTCAGACTTCTTCTTTGGTACAAAGGGAGGGCCAAAAAATTTTATGTGAATTTTCCAGATTGCGAGGGGTGCCATGCCCCTAAACCCCACGGTATGGAAGGGAAAACTGTACTGTTAAAAATAGGATACATCCTTGTCTCTTAATAAAGTATATTTGAGGGTGAGGGGATGGTGAGTACTGTCTGAAAAATATTTCCAAACAATATATCAGTAAATAAAGTAATTTAGAATAAATGAAAATTTGATATAGTGGGTCAGATATGAATTGATGAGGATGATGCATAGGTTCATGGCTCTCATATTGGAAAGGAAAATAGCATTTGATATTAAGAGGGAAACCAGGGTCACAGAGCTCCTAATAGTAGTTTAATGATTGTATACAAGAAGTGCTTTCATAGGGAAAAAGACTCTGATAACCATTACCCCCAAACTGCCCCTGTTTTTTGGTACACAAACACTCTTATAGAATTAATTGGGGAAAATGGTGCTATTTCTAACCATTCACCAGTGTGCTATCTCTTCATTATAACAGTATGGTGGATTCAATAATTAGTTTAACTTGGTAACAGACAATATAAGGAGGGAAAAATTGAAGATGACTCTAAGGTTATAATATTTTTAACTTTTAAAATCTTTAAAATGTTTCTTCTCTTAATTTTTGCTTTCCTTCTCCAAGCAATATATTTTGCTCATATGGCTCTTGTGTGTTTGCATGTTGAAAAATATGTGCATAACCATTTTTAAGAAAGTCAACCTCTAAAATTATTCCTTTGTAAACTTAAACAAGATGTTTTAATTATAGAGTATGAGGTTACCTCCTAAACTGAAACAGAATGAAGTAGCTAACATCCAGCCTTCTTCCAAAAGAGCCAGGTAAGGACAGTTTTAAATTATTGTTGCTACTTTTATTGTAGAATAATCTTAGATGTATTTTAGAATGACAGCACCTCTTGAAGATCTGAATATTTATTTCAAAATATCATTAGTTTACACTTAGAGAAATTTTCATTCAGTATTTTAGAATACATTTTCACTTATCTTACATCTTTCCTATGCATTAACATCTCTATCTCATTTTATAGTTAAAGAACTAAAGTACCCAAGTTGCAATAATAGTCTAGGGCACCATTTTCCAACCAGTTATTTGTTGTTCTGAGACATCGTCCTGTTGTTCTGAGTTCGCTGGGTTCTCCTCTCCCAATTTTTGACCAGGAAGCTTGAAGTGGTGGAGAGAGGAGGAGGAGGAGAAGAGAGAGAGAGAGAGAGAGAGAGAGAGAGAGAGTGTGTGTGTGTGTGTGTGTGTGTGTGTGTGTGTGTGTGTGTGTTTAGTGGAGAGAAGGGGGTGCTGCTTGGTAAGTTCTCAGGTTTGTCATAGGTTGAAAATGTTTGGAAAACATTGGTCCTTAGTGACATAGTACTGATAATTTAAGAAAAGGCAAAACTACAAATATGTTTAAAGAGTTCTGGTGACACTCTTCTAATTATTAGAAAACCCTTTAGAAGTTTAAGGAATGGTTTGAAGTGTGATTATGTAGCTTAAAAGAGGTTTAATATATTTTATCAGTATAATTTGTATTACTATTTAAATTTGTTTCTATTTTTATTTCTTTGAGGTTCTTTTCCTTTCCCTTCCCTTCCCTTTTCACAGTATAGGCTGTATTGTATTTTTTTTTTCATTTTTAAAGTAAAATTTGAATTGTATTGACTATCTTCAAGAGAATGATTGAAGTATCATAAATAAAACTTTTTTTTAACATTGAATTTTTAAAAGTCCATGGGTTATCTCATTATTGCACCCTAGATTAAGAAAAGTTTTAGGGATACTCTAATATTTATGAATAAGAAATTTTGCTTTAGGGTAAATAGTCTTATATTTCGTGAAAGATAATCAGAAATTAAAAGTCAAGTATGAGCTATTGGGAGCTATAAGAGCAATTTATTTTTGAAGCTGCAGTCTTTCTTTTTTCCTTGACTTCCTATTGCTGTTGATGTAAAGCAGTACAATTTAAATGTGGACGTGTACAAAGGAGACAAGATTACTATTTGTATAGCTTTGTAAAATGAATACAAACAAAATTTATTATTTAACCTTTCTCACTTTTTTTTTTTAAAATGAAGCTTTTTAAAGTTTTCTTTGGGACAGTAGTAATAGAGATTTTGTTATAAACTAGAAATTAACTTGACTTCATGGTTCATATAGAGTTGTGGGTTTTTTTGTGGCTATGAAAGGAGAGCTGGGAAATAAATTCCAAGATAATAGAGAAAGGGTAAAGATTTCAGTGACTTTAGTATGCATGATACACATTCATATTATATAGATATTTTAATGTGAATAGCACATGTTCCTAATGTGTTAAGTGAGAAAATGTATTAGGTAAGTGTGAGTTTTAAAAAGAAAACTTGTCAGCGTTATGTGCATTTTGTTCTTTGAGCTTCTTAAAAAGAGACATGATTATAATTTTTAATTAATGAGATTTAAAAATCCAACTCTGTCTATAGAATTTGACATGTAGGAAAGAAAATTTCTTCACCGTCCAAGTCATTGATTTCCAAATATTTAGTTTTATTAAATCCTAGGGTCTTTTCAGTTATAGCTTTTAAGAGCCATTATTAATTCCTCTCCTTCCTACTTTTCCCATCTCTTATATGTACAGGGTCTTACAGAAGAGTATTGGGGATAGAGAGGTGCATGCCATGAATTCAGACAAACTGAAGTATGTGTTAAATCTCCAAAAGTTAGAAATTAATTATAATTTTAATAATAGTTGTGGTGGAATTGTTAAAAAAAATCTCCAGTGGTTTATGCTTTTCAGTGTAATGAAACTCTCAAGAATTCAGAAGTAAGAAATTGAGTTGTACTTTTGTCGGAAATACAGCTTGATTGTTTTTTAAATGCTGTAAGTTAGGAAGACATTAAGGTATAACTACTTTTATTTGTAATGTTGGGGGTTATTTAATGCATATGTTTTACAGGATAACTTTTGTAAAGATATTTGTAGTCTTAAGTGAAATAAAGCTTTTTTTTGTATTGTATGTATTCATTTTGTAGAATTGAAGACATACCACCTCCCACTAAAAAGTTAACACCAGAATTGACACCTTTTGTGCTTTTCACTGGATTTGAGCCTGTCCAAGTTCAGCAGTATATAAAGGTGAAAATTTGCTTTGATTTTTATCAGTAATATATAGAAACATAGCAATTCTCAGTGTTCTTGCTGTTGTCTGATTTGGGTTAACTATATCATATTTTACTGAATATATTTTATCGAAAGGGAATGTAATATTGAAGTAGCCTACTTAATTCTACATAATTATTTAAGTCTGAAATATTTGCTCTCTTGTTACTAGAAAAATTTGGGCCCGATGAGTAATCTGCTTCCTGAATTTTAGAGGAATATTGCTATTTTCAGACCACTGGAATTCCATTTAATAAATTGCTATTCTTTTCTCTACCATATCTTAGTAACCTAACAGAATGACTGTATCTTTTCATCTTCTAAAGATATACTCACATATTAGCCTTCTCAATAAGGTCTAGCCAGTTTTTAAACTACAATTTGAATAAAATATTTAGAAATATCCTCTCTGAAATTTTTTTGAGTGAATCAGTCTTTCCCCCCCCAGTAAAATAGTATTAAACCAATGTTACATATACTATATTTTCCTGTTTTCTTTCCTAATGCTGCATTTTAAAGACATTTTAAATAGTGTACTTTGAAGCACAACTTAATTTTGTGCCATCTTAAGAAAATAACTATAGTCTTCATGAGTCAAATTTTTTTTAATTTCATGTTCATGTTTTTTCAGTCAATTTTCATGTCATCATTCTTGAAGAGAAGATAGCGTTTTAATATTCATTAATGGCATCAAAGATATCCTTTTTTTTTGTTTATTTATTTATTTCTCCCTTACGTGTAAGAGGAGTTCCAGGTCAGACAACCTAGAAATCTTTCTTACCATGAAATGGACAGTGCCATTCAAATCATTAATGTTAATCACAGATAAAATCATCGAAATGTATTATTGAAAATATGATTGTGTATATAACTTAATGTAAAAGTGCAATTATATATATATTTAAAAACCCACTTCACTTAGAATTAAGTGACTAGAAATATATATTGTTAACTTTTTCATTATTTTACCTTTCCCTCCCAGTGGTATTTTTCTTCTGCCTGCCGTATTGTTTTTGCCACGGCTGTGAATTATTTCATACATTTGTATGAAAATGTAATGTCTTTGTAATGCTTTGACTCCAGTTGAATCGAATACTGCTCTAAAATGCAAGGTTTAAAAAAAAAAAAGGAAGTTACCTAATTTTATTAGGTATGTAAACAATACTATATCACAGTCTTTTAAAAAATAAATCTGTCTTGAGATTAGACTTCATCTGTTTTACACCCCATTGATAACGTCTTTATAGATTTTAACTATTTAATTTCTGATCTTACTATGTTTGTACAACTTTTAGAAACTCTATATTCTTGGGGGTGAGGTAGCTGAGTCTGCACAGAAATGCACACATCTTATTGCCAGCAAAGTGACCCGCACTGTAAAGTTCCTGACAGCAATTTCTGTAGTAAAGCATATAGTAACTCCAGAATGGTTAGAAGAATGTTTCAAATGCCAGAAATTTGTTGGTAAGTAAAAGCACCAGTAACATTTTTTAAAATGCCAAATGCAAAAGTTTAATTAAACCATTGGGAGTTGATTTGTTCCAAAGTGTTCTAGATGTAATTATTGTATAATCACAAGCAATAAGCTTTTACAATTGTGAATAATATGTATGAATTATTTAAAATCTTACGATATTTCAAGCTTTGGCAACTCTGGCGCCTACTGGTATTTTAAGATAAATGCAATCTGGTTGATGTCCTTTTTCTGCCCTGAATAGAAGCATCACATTAGCAATGAAAGTTTGGGAAGTGTCTCAAACAAACAAGACAGATAGACAGACACACATACACACGCGTACACACATGTATATGCACATGCAGACCTCTTTGTTTTACTAGAATTGAGCTTTACTCCATTTTCATCCCAACAAGCATCTAATTTGTTCTTTAATCATTTAATATTCATCAGTTAACACGTGAATTTTGTGTCTCAGGCTTCCATTTCTTTACATTTTCAGATGGAAAAATAAAGGGTTAGGAAATTTGAACAGTATTAGGAAAGAAAAATTACTTTTATAACATAGCTTTATTTTTTCTTAATAACATACTTGGTTACAGATTCTTCAGTGAGAGACCAAGGTAAACTGAGATTACTCTTTCTTCACTTGTAGTCTAGCTATAAAAAAATATAATTGCCAATAGAATGTAATCTTTCACCAAGGAATGATTTAGATTCTCCATTAGGAAGGCTAGGCCTACATAAATGCAGTAGAGAGAATGGCCGTTACCATCGTAGAGTATTGTGAGTGAAGCCATAAAACTTGTTAATCAGTAAATGTTTAGTAATGGCCTGCTGTGTGCCACATACTGTACTAGGTGCTGGGGATTAAAAACAAACCCCCCAAAATGCAACAGTCCCAGCCCTGAATGAGCTCACATTTTTATCACAGGTGACACATATAAGTATATATAGAATAAATACACGATAAATGCAAGGTAGTTTAGGAAGAGATGGTATCACCAGCTGGACAGTGAGGGGAAGAGAATCAAGACAATGTAGAAGCTGGAGTTGAGTCATGAAGGAAGTAAGGAATTCTGAGGCTGATGTGAGAAGGGTGTGGATCTAAGTCTTTGGGGACAACCACTGCCAAGACAGATAGATACAAGATAGTATCATGTATGGAGAATAGTAAGATGACCAATTTGGCTGGACTTCAGAGTATGAAAAAGGGAGCACTGTATAATGAGCCTAGAAAAGGCAGGCTGTGGCCAGGTTGTGAAGGGCTTTGAAAATCAACTAGAGGATTTGTATTTATCGTAGAGACTATAGGGAGGCCCTAGAGTTTATTGAATGGGGGGGGGGTAACATGGTCAGACTTATATTTAAGGAAAATCAAGTTAGTAGTTGTGTAGAGGTTGGATTGGAATGGTTGAGACTTGAGGCAGGGAGAATAATGAAGAGGCTTGTGCCCAAGCAGCAGGTGATGGCTTTGGAAATGGAGTAAAGGGGACAGATGTGAAAGATGTGGGTGCAGAAATAGCAAGATTTGGAAATTGAATGGATATGTGGTGGTGAGAGAGAGAAGACTTGAGGAAAGCCTTGACTGGAAAGTTAGTGGTACTCTCAACAGAAATAGGGAAATTTAGAAGAAAAGTGAGTTTTGAGGGAAAGATAATTCTGTTTTGGGCATCCTGAGTTGGAGATGTTTTGGGATATTGCTTGAAGTGTCCAAAAGGTAAAGATGGGAAGGAAAGAACTCAGGAGAGAGATAAACTGGATTGGGAGTCATTTCTATAAAAATGAAAGAATGAATGCATACTTGAATGTGTGACTAAAAAGCATGTATTAAGCATTTACAGTACCATGTACCAAGCACGAGGCTAAGCACCTGAGATATTGGTAAACCATGGGAGCTGACAGGATCACGAAGAGTGAGTATAGAAAGAGAACAGAAGAGAGCTTTGGAGTATGACCATAGTTAGGGGGTATGATATAAATGGTAGACCAGAAGTGAAATGTACTTACTGATTATTAGTTGGCATGAAAAATAGAAGTACAAGGAAGACTGCATATGTTGCAAGTAAAGATTGGTACTGGTGGAGAAAATCTGGGAGGTGTGATAAAATAAGATCCACTATGAGGGAAACACATTTTCTAACTTGAAGGGTAGAATCAAGTCTAGTGTTGATTGTAGACTGCTCTGTAATGGCAGGGAAAGAGCTTTATAATAGTAACTGCAAATCCATTTAAAGGCATCTTCAGAAAGAGACAGGAAACAGGCAAACTGCCATTGCCTCCTTGACTACCATCTCCCCTTGGACCCTGATGGAGGTAGTCTAGGATCCTGAGTCCAGGAGCTTTGGTAATAGCAGTTTCTCCAAGATCAGCAGACCTCCTTCCAGCCCAGTCCCCAAAATCACTATCAAGAATAAGGTGAAATTGTGGAAAAGTGACCCACCTTCCTCATCACCATCAACAACTGCTTACCAACCTGTTACCAACAGGGAGGTAAATATAGGAGCCTTGGAGTAGCAAGAGAGCACTGGCTTTACTTCCACACCAGCCCTTGCAGCCATTATTAGAGTGGGGGGAGGTGTGGCCAGTCATCTCCACCAACTGCTACCCAAAGGGCAGGCAGAACAATCTAGTTAAAGCAGCAAGGCACCTTGGAGAGAGAGCTAGGAGGCAGCACATGCCAGGCAAGTCAAACCCCACCACTGCCTTGATTGTTGTCTCCCCTTAGACCCTGATGGCAGCCTAAGACCCAGAACCCCAAGAGTCTTGGGAATGACAGCGCTCCAGTTCGGGGGCCTCCAGCCATCACAGCCTCTTTGGAGATTCAGTCTAGTAGATGCTTATGCAGGTAAAACAGCCACAGCTGTTGCAGAGCCAGAAAAGAAAGTTCTTGTCACCACTCTTTGGCAGTGTCAGATGGTTCAGCATCTGAAACTGACATGGTTTTATTAGTGGAAGTGACATTATTAAAAAAGAGGCATTAACGTCTGTTTTGCCATTGTGCTTCCAAGGACAGTGGGACCTTTCCTTTTAATGTTCCATATGTTCCGTATGTGCTATCTTCCCCATCAGGATGTGAACTCTTTGAAAGCAGGGACTATTTTACTTTTTTCTTTGTATCTCAGCACTTAGCACAGTATCTTTTGCACATAGTAGGCACTTAAATTTTTTATTTATTCACTTAAATAGTTAGAGCTCTGCTATTTTAAAAAATCAGTTTCTCCTTACAGAAAGTACCTAGGAAAGATATTAACTATTAGTAGTAGCAAAGATAATAGTACTGTAGCAGGTGATAACCCTTCTGAAGTACTTTACAAAGAGGGGAATTCCAGTGGTGATAAACTTTGTTTCCTTTCCTGTTTAGCTTGGCACTAAAAAACATATCCTCTGCCATCTTTGTCATATGTGCTTGAATTGGGACAATGTGAACTAGTGGAAAGAACACTGAAAACCTGGATTCAGGCCTCACTTTTGTCATTCACTAATAGGCTGACTGCATGTCATTCAGCCTCTTGGGGCCTGCTTTTCCTTGTGAAATGAAGGTGTTGGATTCTTTATGTCCTCCAAGATTTTTTTTGGCATTTAAATTCTCTGATCATTTATGATCCTTGTGTGTATTCTCGGTATTTGGCTAATAGTGATGACTAATCCTTACTATTCTATCCATACTTTAATTTGAAGCCAACACCCTCACATAGTTTAAGGGCGCAATGGATCAAAAGAAAAGCCAACTGTTTTTGGTATGGAGAACAGGACGAGAGAGAACCTGGTAACTTATAATGAGTTGAGGGTAGAGAGACAGTTCTTTTATCTGTCTTCATATGCAAAAACAAAGATATAGCCCCTCTCCATAATCCAGTCATTAATAGGTACTGTCATTTCCATCTATGCAGCATCTTTCAAATACATTTTGTCCTCTCCTTTTAAATGACCAACACTTAAGGGTTGTTCTCATTACTACCCTCTTGTACAATAGTCTTCTAACTGGTGTTCCTGCTTCTGTGCTTTCTATAGCACAATCCATCCTTTATGTAAAATTGCCATATGATGTGTCTTATACATGGATCTGTTCATGTTGTTCCTCTATTTAAAAATCTTAAGTAACCTCCTGAGTAAATAATAGACTCCTGCCTCACTTTCGGAATCCTCTTCAACCTGGCACAATAATGCCTTCCAACCTTATCTCAAATTATTATCCTTTATGCCCTCTATTTCAGCCAAACTGGATAGTAATAAAAAAAATATCCCAAACTATGCCCTCCCCCCCCCACCTGCACCATGCTGTTTACTCTTAATCCACTTCATTTTACATGAATTCCAGAATTCCTTTATCTGATTGTGATCTTTATCAATCCATTTTTCCATATTCCTTAAGACCCCTAACCCTGTTTGTCATCTTCAACTTTACCTCCATTCTCTCCACCCCTCCATTCTGTTGGTCATTTCCCTTACACTGGCTACTTTTCTTGCTTCTTTTTGTCAACCCTTCAACTCTTCATGGTTCTTTATTCTCAAATCCCATACTGCTTTGTTCTATCAATGATTTCTTGCCAAACCCCAGTACCCATAATGTCTGCTTCTGCTTCTATTCGTGTGCTCCTGAATAGAGCTTGAGAAAATAATGAAATTGTGTTGATTAGGTCCATTACACATTTATATTATCTGGACCTTTACTGCCAGAAGGCAATCTTTATTGCTGCAGAGACAGCTGGGTGGTGCGGTGGATAGAGCGTCAGATCTAGAATCAGGAAAACCTGAATTCAAATCCTGTCTCAGATATTAGCCAGGTGACTCTTGGCAAGTCCTTTAAACCACTATCTGCCTCAGTTTCCTCACCTGTAAAATGGGGATAATAGCACCTAACTTGTGAGGTTGTTTATTAAGCACTTAGTAGGTACTTAATACATACTTTTTTTTCTTCCGTCTTTATACTCCTCCCTTCTCCCTACATTGTCCCACCCCACAATAGCTATTTTGAACCTTGTTTCTCTTCTAGGCTTCTATGCCCTCTTTTAGCTGAAGATCTTTACTTCACCTGAAAATCTTTACTTCACCATTCACTGAGAACTCCATCTTCTTCCCTCCTCATCTCACATCACTCAGGCATTTATCCTGCATGGTTTCATTTGAAGAGGTAGTCCTCCTTGCCAAGGCCAATCCCTCCTTTGCATGTACCCTTGATCCAATCAATTTCTCCAGCAGGTTCCTCTTCTCCCTCCACCCTCACTGTCATCCCTACTTGTTCTAATCTTCAGTGTCTTCCTATTTATTGGCTTATTGCTTGATGCCTGTAAATATGTCCATATTTCCTCCATCCTTAAAAAACTATTATCCTGTATCTTTTCTCCACATTCTGCCTAGACCTCTTGAGAAAGTCGTCTTCCACTTGGTGCCTTCACTTCTCTTCTAAACCTTCTTCAATCTGGCTTTTAACCTCATTTTGCTCCTTAGGAGCAGTGTCATAGGCAGCTGAGTGGTGCAATAGGTAGAATACTTGGCCTGAAGTGAGGAGGATATGAATTCAGATTCAGTCTCAGATTATGAGCTCTATGAGTTTGGGCAAGTCACTTAACCTCTCCCTGATAATAGCACCGGCCTCCCAGGGTTGTTGTGAGGATCCACTGTGATAATATCTGTAAAGCACTTAGCATGCTAGCTATTGTTGTTGTTGTCATTATTGCTGATTGCCAAATCCAGTGGTCTTTTCTCAGTCCTGAACCTCCTTGGCCTTGCTGCAGCTTTTGACAGTGTTAATCACCTTCTCCTTCGGGATGTGCTCTTCTCTCTAGGTGGTCATGACTCTACTCTCCTGGTTCTCTATTTTTTCAAGTGCTCCTTTTCAGTCTCTTTTGTTGGTTATATCTGTGTTATACTCACTAAACATGTCTGTCCTGTGATACCCTCTCTTTTTCCTCTGTGCTGTTTTACTTGACTGTCCCATCAACTCCCAAGAGTTAAATGATTATTTCTTACGGATGGTTCCTAAATCTATGTATTCAGCCCTGGTCTTTCTCCTGAGTTTCAGTCCTGTATCATCCACTGCCTTTTCTTTCTTTCTTTTTTTTTTTAAGGCAGTTGGGGTTAAGTGACCTGCCCAGGGTCACACAGCTAGTTAAGTGTCAGGTGTTTGGTCTGAGGCCGCATTTGAACTCAGGTCCTCCTGACTTCAGGGCTGGTGCTGTATCCACTGCGCCACCTAGCTGCCCCTGCCTTTTGAGTATTTTAGTGTTGGTAGGCATCTCATACTTAAAACAGAACTCATTATCTTTCTCCTAGACATCTCCTCACCCTAACTTCCCTAGTACTGTTGGACACCATCATCCTCTCAGTCACCCTCACCCTAAGGGTTCACGCGAACTCACTCCATAGAACCAGTTTGTTGCCCAACCTCATCATTTTTGGCTTCACATCATTTTGTATATGTTCTCTTTTCACTCATAGCCACCACCCTGGTTCAGGTCCTCGTCACTTCTTAATTGGACTACTGCAGTTGCTTTCTAATTTGTCTCCTTGCCTCATAGCTGTGTTGTGTCTTGTCTTCATTCAGCTACCAAAGTGGTTCCCTATCACTCCCACGAACAAAGATGAAGTCCCCTGATGTTAAAATCTCTTCACAACTTGGCCTCTTCCTAACTTTCCAGTATTCTGTACTTAATTCCCCTCCACATTCAGAACACTGTCCTACTTGCTATTGCTCAAACCTGGTGCTCTGCCTCCTGCCTCCTTATTTTTATACTGCTTGTCTTCTATCCCTGGAATTGTCTTCCTCTTCACCTCCACCTCTTAGTTCTCTTGGCTTCCTTCAAAACCAGGCTAAAATCTGATCTACTACAGGATGACTTGCTGCCTGGTCCCTACAGCTGCTAATGCCATCTTCTCCCACCTACATTGTGTATATCTTATAGCTTAGTTATATACATGGTAATTATGTGAGGCCGTTGAGGGTGGGAACTGTTTTTGCCATTCTTTGCCTAGCACCCAGCACAGTACCTGGCATATATAGTAAGAGCATAATAAATGCTCATTGATTTGTCTTATATTGTTTTATATTTCCCTGCTATTCCCTGTGCCTGGAATGCTTTCCTTTCTCTTGTTCTTCATTGGTTAAATTCCTGCTGATAGCTTAAAACCTGATTCAGATACCACAACTTCCATTAAAATGTTCCTAAATTCTTCCGTTTGGTGATAACCTTCACCCCTGACCTCACATAACACTTTTTTTTTTAATTTGGGTAATTCACCAATGTACTTATTGTATGTTATAGTGATTTGTGTTTTATATTATGAATTATATTGACATAGTATAGTTATCTGTTCCCCACTAGACTGGAAGCTCCTTGAGGGCAAGATTTTTCTTTTTTAACAAAACTTTATATATCTTTCTTAGCACATAGCAGACACTTAAAAAATGTTTGCTGTTATTGTACAAATGTGTGCATATATATGTGTATAAACACAAAGGCATTTGTGTGTATATGTTTCAGGTCTTTAAAATTCCTAGACCTCTTTGTTAATAATTAATTTTTAACACCACTTGGATAAAATTATATTAAAAAAGTAATTATCTAGTACAGCCCTTCTGTTCTGTAGACGATTAAGCTGAAGCTCAGAGAGTTGAAGTAACTAGCAAAATGTATAGAATTCTGGACTTGTAGTGAGGAAGATCTGAGCTTTAATTATTACAGTACTCAGATACTTACTGGCTTTGTGAGGACAGGCAAGCCACTTAGCTTCTCAGCTTTAGTTTCTTCATCTGCAAAATTGGGATAATAAATAAAGCAGCTACTTCACAGCATTGTTGTCAGAATCAAATGAGATATTATGTATATAGGTAGATAGTATTGTATAAGTTACTGTTATTGTTATTATTGTTTTTATTAAAGTGCCTTGTCCAGGCCATAGTTTCAGAAATTATGTTCTCAAAACAGGCTAATTAGGAGAGGATTTCATTCTACAAAATTTGTAGATGTTTTGCTAGTATAAGGCATGAAAGTAGTAATAGAGGGGTTGGAAACCATAGGAAAAATCCTAACATGTAAAATTTAACAACTCAACTTTGTAAGTGCCAGAGTGCTTATAAACACCAGGCCCTGCAACAGACACTCTTGTGTGCAGGCTGAACTTGATTAAAATTAATTGGGAAATATTTAACGAAACATAAATACAATAAAACACAGATAACATACTTTAAAACCTAAGTCATGTAGCCCACAGGGATCCTTATGTCCAAATTAGTGACCCCCATTTTTATTTAAGTGTGACACCACTGACTGAAACTCACAGAGAATTTTATTTGGAAAAGTATAGTGGACAGGGCACTGAATTTGGAATCAGAAAACTTGGACTTTAATCCCAGCTGTGCCACCTAGTTCCTATTAACCTTGGGCATGTAAATTCACTGCTGAGTCTTCATCTATATAATGAGGGCGTTACGGAGTAGAAGGCCTCAGCTCCAAATCTTACAGTCATGGAGCCGTTTCCTTGATTTCAGTGCTTTTGAAAGAAAAAAATCTCAAATTGAATTTTAAATCTAAAGTTCTAGCTGTGTGACCCTGGGCAAGTCACTTAACCCCAATTGCCTCACAAAAACAAAACCACAAAAATAAATAAAGTAATATTATGCAGTCAAGTTATACTTGCAATATGTACTACTCATGTATGCACATAAATGTACACATTGTCCTTTTCTCCCTCCCTTTTCCTCTTCCTGTTTTCCCCTCCCTCTCAATATTGAGTTTGGAAACTTATAGAAAAAATAACTAATTTTTTTTCCTAGCAGCCTCTAGATAAGAGCTGCTTGGACTTGGGAGTAAATCACTCTTGCAGTTAGGGAAATAATTGCTGATTTTTACAAGTGTTCAAGATCCAGGGCTATGACCACATAAGTCAGTTATTTAGGAATATATGTTTTCTGAAGTTAAATTTTCAAATAAATATTTGACACAACAAATGAAAATAGGATATTGAAACACTTGTTAATAATTTCATTTCATTGGCAGCTTATCTTCCCCTAGTTTGGTTATTCTGGGTATAGAATTTCTAAATTGACCTCAAACTGCCACTAACTAGTTATGTAGTCTTGAATAAGTATCTGTATATTTGTTTTTCTTTCTGTTCTAATTCTAGTCTGGGTCAAAAGGAGATAACAGGAATGTTTAGGGAGATTTAAGTCAGTGTGCCTCTCTTGGGAAAAACCCAGAGAAAATGAGTTCAGGTGCCTAAGACTGTGTGAGTGTGCCTGCCTCTGGCTCCTGTTGGGAGTTAGCGGGGAGGAGTGTGATTAGGGTGGGAAGGGGTCAAAGATTTCACAGTTTATTGGGCCTTCAGTCACTTCTTCACAAGGAATAAGAGAGGGTGGAGGGTGGGTTTCATGAAGCACATTTCATTGTGTTTATTGTCTTGTTTCTAGATGAACAGAACTTCACGCTCCGAGATGCTGAAGCTGAGGTGCTCTTTTGTTTCAGTCTAGAGGAGTCCTTAAAGAGAGCACACGTCACACCACTTTTCAAGGTAGGCAGGACTTTCAGGCAAAGGAATTGTTAAAAAAGAGAGATGGTTTCATGACCTGCTTCATTCACCAAGCTTAATTGAAACTCCTGCCATTGAAAATGTGATAGAAGCAACAATCCTCGTTTTATAAAATTTGATGATTAAAAGAAATTCTAGTAAGTAAGTCATACCTTCAGATCAGTGGTATGATTTCATTTTCAAGGTCAAATGCCTAGTGGATTTCAGTAAAATATAGTCATTTGTAATACTTAGCTGTGCTGTAGTTTGAAAGAATTGGTATTTTAAATGAATAGAAATAACAGTGTTAGGTCTTTTGATCAGTGCACACCTGAGGAAAATTTAGAGCTCATTTTGGATTTAACTTGGTATAAGATTTGTACAGTTATTTTTAAATTTTTTAACAAATTTCCATAAGACTTTGCATCTAAAACTTTTATTTATTGCATAGCTACAAAAATTAATGTGGAAGACTAGTGGTGAAATAAGATATAAATGGAAAACATATCTAAATAATTCATAACCAAAAAACTTTTAAATATATTTCAGAGATTAAAAGATTTATTTAGTGATAACTTTCTGGCCTTTTATTTATCCTGAATATGTGTTTGTGTGTTTCAAGTAAGGTGACCTGTCTCAGGGAGCAGAATGTTATGGATCAGGAACACTTTGAGATAATAGATACAAATGTATTATATTTACAACAGCTTGATTTTCCAAACCATGGAATGTGGTGTTGTCCATTTTCCTCCTACCCCCCAACCCCAGACATATAAAAATGGTTATTATTATAAATAAAGTGTAATAAACTAGATGTCATGGACTATAATGGAAGGAGGACTAGGACAGGAGAACACCCTTTGCTGTGTGGTGGTTGAAGGATCAAAAAAAATTAGCCACATTCATCTTTTTCTATTTCTGTGTGTGACCACGTAGTATTTTATTGTCAAATGGAGAGAAGTACATCTAAGTTAAACGAATATGGTCAGGTGTGTGTCTATCAGTAATCTGGCACTGAGCTGTCATATTTGAGTAGGTAGTTTGTTTTAGGATGCTGTAGTTGTTGTGAAGTAATCACTTTAGTTGAAGTGTTTGTTGGGCACCTACTGTATACTGCTGGTAACAGCGGACAAGACAATTTATGTTTAAATCATTAAAAATACTTAATTTCTTTTAGGAAATTCTGTGCCTAGTTAGTTCTTAAATTATAGCTAATCTTTATATGGTGCTTTAAGGTTAGCAAAGCATTTTGCAAATATCTCCTTTGATCCTCACAAGACCCTAGGAGGTAGGTCTTGACATTTTATAGAAGAGGCAGATGAGGCACAGGAAGAATAAATTACTTGCCAGTGATCGTACTGGTAGTATGTGTCTGATATGGGCTTTGAACTTACGTCCTTCTGACCCACCTTAGTAGCAGATAAATATCTTAGTGATTTGAAAGTACCTGATTTACACTGAAACAAAAACTTACTGACCTGACAGCATTGGGCTGCCTCTTGGTTTGGTTTTGAGTTTTCAACTTGTTTCATAACTTACTTTTTTTTTTGTTTTGTTTTGTTTTTTTTAGGCAAAATATTTTTATATTACACCTGGAATTTGTCCTAGTCTTTCCACCATGAAAGCTATTGTGGAATGTGCAGGAGGAAAAGTGTTATCTAAACAGCCATCTTTCCGTAAACTCATGGAACATAAGCAAAATAAGGTGTATATAAGTGAAGTGATCTCTTAGATTAATTGTTATAGTTTGTAAGACCCATTGTTGTACATCATTTGGACTCATTGTTTTCTCTTCCGTAGAGTTTGTCAGAAATAATTTTAATATCCTGTGAGAACGATCTTCACTTATGTCGAGAATATTTTGCAAGAGGAATAGGTATGATCAGATTGTCATTACTCCTTTTGTGTATTTATCACCATATAACTATTTTTACTTTATTAAATGATTATTTTTAATGTCTTTCAGATGTTCATAATGCAGAATTTGTTCTTACTGGAGTACTTACACAGACATTGGACTATGAATCATATCCTTTTTAAAAACTATTATGAAATATTTGATAGTTAAAGTGACTTTGCAAGAATAAGAAAACAAATTTTACCACCTTTTTTAAAACTCTGTCTTTTATTATGGTTTTATAACAGTTCTGGCAGTACCTCTCATGTTTTTTCATGCTTTGAGTTTAAAGCGGTTTTGTAGAATAAGAAAAAGTCCATAGTTTCCCAAAAGATTGTCTTTAGATAAGGCTTTTTTTATGACTAACATATCATAGCTTTAGAATTTATAAGGAGAAATTTTTTCTTTTGTAGTCAAGACTCTACACCTATGCTATCATTTCTTTCTACTGATACAGAATGGCAACTCTTCAGCAGTTTATAATCTTAGATTGTCTCAGGGTACATTGAGTGATTAAGTCACTTGCAAAGGGTCACACTACCAGTCTGTATCAGAGCTGAGACTTAAACCTATGTCCTCTTGACTTTAAGGCTGGGTTTTTATCCAATCTGACATACTGCTTTTTTAAAGACAATTATGTAAAATGAAAATATGTAGGGAAAGGGAATGGAACTGGGTTTGTTTTGTTTTTTATAATGGCTCACATTTATATAGTGTTTTACAGTGCTTTGTATAATACTTTACAGAGTGTTTTCTTTGTGGACATAGGAGGTTGGTAGTACAGATATTTTCTTCTCAGTCTTACAGATGAAGAAACTGAGGTTTAAATTAGTTGATTGATATGATTGTGGTTATACAGCTGTTAAGCATTGAAAGCAGATCTTTTGACTTCCAAGTCCAGTGTTACTTTATGAGCTTGGACAGATTTTGGGAGATAGTGGAGGATAGAAGGGCCTGGCATGCTATGGTCCATGGGGTCACGAAGAAATGGACATGACTGAATGATTGAACAACAACAAGAATAACCAGTGTTACTTCCATTAGATTATTCTGTCTCTTTTCTTTAAGGATCTTTCATTATAAAATACTTAAATCGTTCTCCAATTTAAATATTAAAAATTGAATATACTTAGAGATGAATTGTTCTCAATGCAAAAATAACCCATCAACTCGGAATTTTCCTTTTGTTTTCTGGTTTCCTTTATTGTGGAAATATCATGGTTTATAGGATTCATTTTCTCTAATAATGTCTGCTCACTGGTCACTGGAAACAGATCTCTTGGAGAAACATAAGCTAAATTAATGTCTATAGATGATCTAAAAATAATGATTCTTAGCTCCCATTGCATTCTCTACCACTCTCCCACTATCACTGAAGGAGTAGAAGGAGGCCAAACCTTTTGCATTTTTTTGTTTCATATATTGCCTTGGCCAAAGAGTGACATAAGAAATATCCTCTCTCCTGATGATGAGTTTATCCATACTTACCTGAGCTTATCTTTGGGAAGAGACATACTGTGTTTCTTGGATCGCACTGAAGGCCTTTCTGGCACAGTAGAACATATGTGAGCTTGGGTTGCACTGTAAAACCTAAGAATCACCTCCAGTGACAGCGAGTCAGTTGGAGTAGGACTTTGAAGAAGTCAAACCAAAAAAGCCGTAGGTTGAAGCTCTAAGTGAAGGTATTCTGAAAACCATAATGCGCTATGCAAAGAATAATTCATATTTGAAAAGCATGAATCATTAGGTGCTGTTGAAATGAAAGCTATTTACACTGTACAGTAGTTGACACTTTTCAGAGAGCCTTTTAACTAAAAGACTGTTATAAGGATTAGATGGTGTGATGTAAGAGAATTAGAATTACTATAATTATCTCCATTTTATAGATGATGAAACCTAGACTCAGAGAGGTTAAATAATTTTCTTAAGATCTTATGACTGAGGCCAGAGCTTGTATCTAATAGTTCCTAGTCCATACTCTTTCTACAGTCTCATATTGTGGAGCGTTTACTGTTTCATTGGTCTCCCTAGTACTCCTGATACCATAGAATCAATCTCCTGGATCAGGAGCTCCTTTTACCTAGAAGTAAACCAAAGGCCATGCAGCTGAAAGAACTAAGAAATAGTCACAAAGCATTAAACAGCAGACTTTCTTTCCACAGTAATCAGCTTCCTATAGGCCTCATTTCCTTTCTGCCTCTTTACTCCCCCTTCCTTATTCCCTCCCTGTTTCTTTAGCCTTCTCCATCCAAAAGGCCTGGTCAGTCCCAGAAGTTTGTATTTGGCCATGGGAAACAAATGTTTTAGTGTCTCACCAGAGAATTTCCCTTCTTGGGTTTTGTTTGTTTGTTTTAGTGAGGAAATTGGGGTTAAGTGACTTGCCCACGATCACACAGCTAAGTAAGTGTCAGGTATCTGAGGCCAGATTTGAACTCAGGTCCTCCTGACTCCAAGGCTGGGGCTCTATCTACTGTGCTACCTAGCTGCCCCAAGAATTTCCCTTCTTAACGTCAAAGCCCAATCTAGTTTTGGGAAATAACTGATTAGTTATATCCTTTATTTTCTTGGGGCTGGCTTATTGTGTCCTTGTGTTAGACTACTGTAGACAGAGACAGGACCAACTCTTTTGTCACCCTCTGTATTCTTTTTGCTTACTGTGTAGAATGAATAGTTATGGACATGTGCAACTTTGTAATAGTAGTGGTAGTAGTGGCATTAGGACTACACAACATAGTAGTAGGATTAATTATAAAAATAAGCAATAATAGCCAGAATTTATGTGACGCTTTCTGTGTCAGGCACTGTGCTAAGCACTTTACAAATGTTCTGTCATTTAATCCTTAAAATAACCCTGGGAGGTAGGTGCTATTATCTTGTTTTGCAATTGAGGAAACTGAGGCAAACAGTTAAGGAACTTGTCCAAGATCATATAGCTAGTAAGTGTCTAAGGCTAGATTTGAACCCAGGTCTTCCTAATTCTAGGCCCTGCTCTCTGTCTGCTTGCTACACCACCTAGTTGCCATTGTTCTCTTTCTCTCTTTTTTTTTTTTTGGCTAGGCAATGCGGTTAAGTGACTTGCCCAGGGTCACACAGCTAGTAAGTGTTATGTATCTGAGGCCAGATTTGAACTCAGGTCCTCCTGAATCCAGGGCTGGTGCTCTACATTGTTCTCATTAATAAGCAACACATGGTTTATTTAGTATTTATTGTGTGCTTGGCACTGTGGAATAAACTGTGGCCTACTCAAACATCTCATCGTGATGGAGAAGTGTTACTGAATTCTTGAAGGCTGTGCCAATGTAGATTAAGCTTTAAGATTTAAGCCTACAAGGGAGGAGCCAAGGAATTGACTCAATGTCTGTGATCATAAGACCAAACAGATTCATAGAAATTCATCATTTTGGCCATAGAATGGTAAATTTTCTATCCTTAACAACTTTCAAAAATCTGTTACATAGAGGGGTTGCAGTCTGTGTTAATGGAAGTTGTTGGTAGGTGGTGTCAACAAAATTGCAGATCCTTGAAGCGTTGAAGTATTCACTAGCAACAGAGCTTATTTTGTGAATTAGGTTTTCTGCTCTTCCCCTCATTCAAATGTGAGGAACCGTTTTCTGTTGAGAGTAACCTAAATGCAAATTATTTACAAATTTATACAAGAGGCAGTATGTTGCAAAGAACAGAAAATTACCAATACAAATTGGCTGCTGTTTGAAAGAGTTGTCTTGGGGCAACGAGAGGTTAAGTGACTTGGCAGCTAGTGGTGCAGGGGATAGAGTGCCAGGCCTGAAGTCAGAAGACCTGAGTACAAATCCAGCCTCAGACACTTGCTAACTGTGTGACCCAGGTCAAATCCCTTAACCTCTGTTTGCCTCAATTTCCTCAACTATAAAGTGGATATAATAGCACTTACTCTTGAGGGTTGTTGTGAGCATCAAATGAGAGAATTATTTTTTAAATGCTTAGCACAGAGCCTGGCATATAATAGGTGCTACATAAATGCTTATTCCTTTCCCCCTCATCCAGGACTTGAACTTGGGTCTTCTTGACTCCTGAGCCTAGATGCTCCACTACAGACCATTACCTTTTCCTGTGATAGCTACTTAAATGAAAGAAATAGAATTGGTGGGAAGGAAAAAAGGAAACAATAAAAAAGGAAAATGAGATCATCATACAAAAAGGCATAGAGTAAGAGGGATGGTACCATGACTTCTTGCAGTGTGGTACAACTAAATGCAGTAGACTTAGAGGAAACCTGAATTCTGGTCCAGCCACCTTGTTTTGTAGAAAAGAAAACTGAGGCCTCAAGGTAATTTTCAAATTTATGATTTAATCTTAGCCCTTTTAAAGAATATTGGTAATGATTTTTAAGCCCTGTTGAATTTTAGCAAGTGTAGGAAGTGTAGGTATAAGGGAAACCATTGCCACTTGTTATTTGCTAAAATTAAATTAACACAAGGACTAGAATTGACCTAAAGGATTGAAACTTGTAATCTAGATAGAGTCTTATTCCTATTTTTCAGGCACATAAATACAAGGCATAAGCATATGTTAGTTTGTCCTCTAGCCGTAAGAAAAGCTTACCAAGTTACCTTTGTTTAATTTGGCGTATTTTGCCAATAGTTTTTTTTTTAAATATGGCATACTTCATGAATTTACATATCATCTTTGTGTAGAGGTCATGCTAGTTTTCTCTGTATCATTCTTATGTGTGCTGGCAAAGCTAGCACTAGTAAATTTCCTAATGGAGACAAAGTCCAAAGGTTTTGTGATCCAATTACTGGCTATTCCGTCTTTTTCCTCTTTATAATCCATTTTAACTTCATTAAATTAACCCACCTTCTACTTTCTTTATCTGAAAAGCTGTGATTACAGTAGCACATGACAGTTACTAAAAATGTAAGTTCTTTGAATAACTTGGGAGTTCTTTGAATAACTAGGGAATAAGGCAATAAAAAGAATTAGAATTGGGTATTTTTCAAAGTTTTAAAGTAAAAAGTTTTGTAATGTGTTTGGTGGAGAGAAAGCTGGACTTAGATAAGGTGATAACTCAAGTGATACCAGCTGCATCAGGTATGGGAGAGTGAGGCAAGTGACTACTTAACTTTTCTGAGAATTGATTTCCTCATTTGTAAGGTGGAAATAACTTCTTGTACTCATCTCACAGCACTCTTGTAAGAAAAGTGCTTTGTCAACATTGATATACTGTTTAGAAATGAGCTAACTCATTGGTGTACTCAGCTTTTTGTTAGTAATAACAGTTGAATCACTTCTTTTTGGAGACTGCCCTAAAAATACAATTTATATAATTTATTGTGGTAAGATCTTAATGTAAAAATTGCAGTGCTATCTTCTTTCAAGTACTTTGTTTTCACAAAAATATAATTCCCTTTTTCTGCTTTTCTTCTGATACCATCCAAATGAAAACCTGTTTGACCATTCCTTCCCTTGCAAAAAGAAAAAATGCTATTTACAATATATCAGGTAACCTGGAGGAGTTAGCTTTGATGTCCTTTGTCTCATCCAGTTTATCCTGTAGGGGTGGTGTAGAATATCAGAGTTTAGAAAACATTCTCAAGGGTTGGGGTAGGCATCTGGTTGTAGGGCATGTGTGATGTCAAACATTGCGGGGTAGGAGGGTAGACAGAGAACAGTATGTGTGCTTAGCGTCTGAAGACAAAGCTCACCAAGTGTCACAGCCTTCCCTGATACTATATACTTAACTTTAGTAACCTCTGAATAAAACACCTAAAACTACTTTAAATTAGATATGTAAATTTAAGTGTATATTTTACATTGTTTTCTAAGTTATTTTCCTCAACAAGCCTACATATAAATTTACTTGATGTTATCTGAAAATGTGACCTTTCTTCAGAGCCCTTGGAGCACAAAATCTGGCTGTCGTAGCTACCGGATAAAGTTAACCAGTGCTTCCTGCAGATGCTCTCGTTTTCCAGCTGCTTTCTTTAGGTGGCAAGCCATTTAAAGCAGGAAAACAAAATACCTGCATCTTATTAAGATGTGTAATTTTATTCTGAGGAAACATAAATTATGTTTTGTATTATATGAATTTAAGAGCCCACATTAGGTTTTATGATTCCTTTGCCAGTTTTTAAAATGTTTTATATAACTGGTATAGAACTTCAACCAAAAGTAAAATATGGGTGTAAATAAGGGCCTTGCTATCTCTTTAAATTATGGATGTTGAAAAATTAAAATGTTTTGTACTTTGATTATTTTTATTTCTTATACTGTTTTCTTTTATATTGATATCTTGCTCAAGTTTTAAATAAATGTAATTTTAAACTTTACCTAAAATGTGATTCTGGTTTGACTGTATGTTATCCTGATTTAAGGAATTTTGAACAATCAGTCTAATAAGTTCTTGAAAACATTTTCTTAAAAAAGTTAAAACTTTTTCTGAAGTATTTGATATCCTAAGTAAATAAAAAAGAATGTGCCAGGGCAGTAATACTATGACATTGAAAATCAGTGTACTATTAAGTAGAGAGGCTGAGTAAAATACATGTAATGTACTAAGGTCTCATTTATTGAGGAAAATATTCTAGAACCCCAAATATGATCCTGTACTATCAGGCAAAATAGTTTTAAATCCAAAGTAATAGGTCATGCTCCTTATGACTTGACCTTACAATACAACTGAGATGTTCCCTAAAATTTGTATCCCTTGCCTGGCATGTTAGTGCATCCCCATAGGTTCCCTGCTTCTGGGGAGGCTGAGGCAGGTGGATCACTCAAGTTCTGAGCTATAGTAAGGTTGAAGCTAATTTGATATCCACACTGAGTCCAGCATCAGGATGGTGAGCCCCAGGTAGCAGAGGGCATCAGGTTGCCTAAAAAGCCTAGGCTGGAAATGGAGCAAGTCAGCAGCAGGATCAGGTGTGTTGTGGCCATTGCACTAACATAAGTATGCAGAATACAAAGCAGTCAATCAGCAAACATATTTTAAGCCCTTAACTATGTGTCAGGCACTGTTCTAAGCTCTGGGATACAAAGAAAAAGGAGGAATAGCCTTTGTCTTCAAGGAGCTTAAAAGTTACATTCATAGTAGCTATAAGGTAACCTTAGAAGGAAAGGTACTAGTAGCTGAGGGGACGAGAAAGGCCTCCTGATACATACTGCTGGGAGATGGCTGATGCTTAAGTCTTGAAGGAAACCAAGGCCTCCAAGAGGCAGAGGTGAGCAAAAGCTTTCCTGATACAGAGGATGCCCTGTTCAAAGGCACGAATACTGGAGGTCACCTGATATGGCTGAACCATGGGGTGTGGAGGTGAGTGATGTTTAAGAAGAAAGGAGTTTATATGGGTTTATTCAGGCAGTCACTAAACAAAGAGCCTACTGAATGCCAGGTACTGTGCTAAGCACTGGAAATACAAAGAAAGGGAAAAGGTAGTCCCTGCTGTCAAAGAATTCACAGTCTATGTACATACAAGCTATATATAGGATAAATTGGAAATAATACAGAAAGAAGGCACTAGAATTAAGGGGGAATCTGTAAAAATTAAGAAAGACTTCCTGTAGAATACAGAATTTTAGATGGGACTTGAGGGAAGGTAAGAGGCAGGGAGCTGTAGGCATGGGGGACAACTTTAAAAAATGCCTGGAGTGGAGAGATGGAGTGTCTTGTTCAAGGAACAGCAAGGAGGCCAGTGTCACTAGATTTTAGAGTATGTGGCGGAATGTAAGGTATAAAGTGGTGGGGGGAGGGCAAGTTATGAAGGTTTTTTGAACACCAAAGGATTTATATTTGATCCTAAGGTGCTAGGGAGCCACTGGAATTTGAGTAGTGGGAAAGGGATGATCTGTGCTTTAGGAACATCACCTTGTCAACTGAACAGAGGATAGACTAGAGGAGGAAGAGACTTTTGGCAGGGAGACCAGTAAGCTGTTTTAAAAGTTCAGCCACGAGGTTATACAGGATTGGACTAGGATAGTGGCACAGTCAGGAGAAAAGGGTGTGAATTGGGAGAAGGCATTAATAAATAAATGGCATCAGGAAATGCTTCATGTACAGAAGGTGGTACTTGGGCTGGGTTTTGAAGAAAGCAAAGGGTTCTGATAGTCAGAAGTGAAGAGAGAGAGGGGGACAACCAGTGCTAAGATGTAGAGACTTGTGATGAGGAATAACAGGAAGGCCTGGACAGAATGCAGGAAAGAGAGTAGTGTTTAATGAAAAGTGGAGTGGGGCCAGGTTATGAAGGGTATTAAAAGCCAAAGGCAAATTTTGTATATAATTCTAAAGGCAATATGCAGTTACTGGATTTTGTTGAGTTGAGAGTGACCTGCATTTTAGGAAAATCACTTTAGCAGCTATATGGAGGATAGATCGGAGTGGAAAGAGATCTGAGGAAGATCATCATTTGTCCTAGAATGTCAAACTCAAACTAAGCCCAATGTTCTCAGAACAAGATGTCTGCATATGTATGTGTGTGTGTATCATAAATAATAATGAACCTAAACTGTATAGCTCAGCCAACTGTATCTTACAGCATCACTATAAAAGATGGAAAAGCTTTTATTAGTTTTATTAGTTAAGTACAGATAGTTGTATTATGAACTTTATTTGAGGATTTACATTTGGTGTATGTATATGAAATATATGTGTATGTATGTATTTTATGAAGGTTTCCATTTTTCTCACCTTGAAATTTGATTTCCTTTTTTTTTTTTTGCTGTTACAGCATTCTACTATCCTACAGATATAATCAGTGTTAACTTTTCATAACTTAAAATGTGGTTTGGTTTTTGTTTTGAGAAAGGATAAATCACATGGCATTTGGTGGCAGGGTATAGACTGAGATAGTTTGGGCGTCCTTTAATAATTAAAGTAAAGCAATGTGTGATGCAAATCCACAGGGCTGATGTGAGTTATTGCTTAAAATGGCTAGTAAGGTATTCTGTAAGCCAACAAAAGAGTAAAGATTAGAAATGAGGTAGAGACAGATTGTGAAGATGGAACCTGGAGAGTGTGGTGGGTAATAGTTTGAGGAAAAGTATGCCTAGGCCATCTGTGAATTCAGTGATCTCAGTGATGATCAATAGATTAGGCGCATGAGAAATCATTCCTACACGTTGTGTGATAGAGCTCAGGACTCAACAGAGCTAGGACTAGAATGCAGGTTTCCTAGATCTAAATGACTTGACAAGTCTCTTAACTTCTCTGGGCATTAGTTAAATAGTTGATCTCTTAAGGATCTAGATCTGGAGTCAGAGGACCCAGGTTCAAATCCTGGTTTTCGCACAGTGCAATGCCTGGCACAAAGTAAGCAGTTAATAAATTCTTGTTGGCTTGACAAACCACGTGACATTGGGCAAAACGCTTAAGTCTTAGTTTTCTCATCTAAAACATGGTGGTCGGACTCAGTGACCTGAGTACTCTTCCTGCTCTGAATGTGTGATCCTTTATTCTTCTATGACTCACAAAGCTGTCTTCCTCCTTAGGAGCAGACTTTAATGTTTGTCTTTGTATCCCCAGTGCCTGACACATAGTAAGCACTTAAAATTGCTTATTGATTCTTGACTGGTTGTAAAAATTGTATGATTTAATGTATTACAACGAGAGGGAAGATTTTAAATTCTAATGTGGTGACATTGCCACACAACTGATTCCAAAATATTAAGTGTTCCATCTTTCAACCTTTGAGTTATGTGACAATATAACTACCGTACTGTAAATATCTAAATCCTGCAGCTACCACCGTCTTGTTATAGTTACTTTCAAAGAGATATATTGTAACTTTTGAATAGATATTTAAAAAAATTTTATTTATTTGTTTTTTAGGCAATTGGGGTTAAGTGACTTGCCCAGGGTCTCACAGCTAGTAAGTATCAAATGTTTAGTCTGAGGCTGGATTTGAACTCAGATCCTCCTGACTTCAGGGTTGGCTCTATCTACTGCGCCACCTAGCTGCCCCCCAAAATAATTTTGATACCTTGTTTTTTTGTTTTTGTTTTTTTCAGGATTGCACACAATTTAATAGCTTTCTTTTTATTTTTTTATTTTTAACATGTGTTTTTAAAACTTTGGGTTACAAATTTTCTCCCTCCCTCCACACCCACCCTCATTGAAAAGGCAAGCATGTTGATACAGGTAGTAGATGTGTAGTCATGCAAAACACTTCCATGTTGTGAAAAATTAAGCATATTTCCCTTCATTCTATCCTATTCCCCATTTATTCTGTTCTCTCTTTTGACCCTGTCCCTCCTCAGAAGTGTTTGCTTTTGATTATCCCCTCCCTCAATCTGCCCTCCCCTCTATCAACCCTCTTCTCTCTTGTCCCCTACCCCCCTTATTTTCCTGTAGGGTAAGATAGATTTCCATACCCCGTTGTGTATGTTATTCCCTTCTTAAGCCAAATCCTATGAGAATAGGATTCACTCATTCCCTCTCACCTTCCCCCATTTCCCCTCCACTGTAAAAGCCTTTTCTTGTCTGTTTCATGTTAGATAATTTACCTCATTCTACTTATCCCTTTCTCCTTCTCCCAGTATAATCCTCTCTCACCCCTTAATTTTATTTTCCAGATATCACCCCTTCATCTTCAACTCACCCTGAGCCTTCTATCTATCTATCTATCTGTCTGTCTATCTATCTATCTATCTATCTATCTATATCTATCTATACATACATACATATAGTGGGAAAACTATATGTATGTGTGTATAGATACCTTGTTTTTTATATTACCAGAATTTGTTTCAATATTCTTCCCATCCCTTCTCCATCCCAAATAATAACAAAGAATGTTTTTAAAGAAGAGAAAGGAGACAAATCAGCAAAATCAATCAATATGTTGGAAAAAGTCTAAATATATGCAGTATAACTCATCCATGGACCTCCCACCTCTGTAAAAGAGTAGGGTGAAGATGTCTTCTCATATTTCTTTTTTGGAGCCATGTTTGTTTTTTGCACCATTCATTGTTGATTGTTTTTGTGGTTGTGTTTTTCCTTTATGTTGTTATAGTTGTGTGTATTGTTTTCTGGGTTGTGCTTACCTCATTCTTTTTTTTTTTTTGGCTAGGCAATGGGGTTAAGTGACTTGCCCAGGGGTCACACAGCTAGTGTCAAGTGTCTGAGGTCAGATTTGAACTCAGGTCCTCCTGATTCCAGTGCCAGTGTTCTATCCACTGAGCCACCTAGCTGCCCCGCTTACCTTATTCTTCATCAGATTGTGTGTATTCTTTCAATGTTTCTCTGCATTTATCATTTTCATCATTTCTTACAGGACATTAATATTGCATT